TCTAAAATGAGTAGTTCTTCGTCTCCGCCGTCAATCATGAGACCCTCTGAAGGACTGTCGCTGGAGTCCAGAGTCCAGGGCCGGTAGGGTTGGCTCACAATGTACTCGTGTTGCACGTATTGAACAGACATTTCTCACTCGCCCTTCCAATCACTACTACCAGTGCTCTTCACCCCTGTCCACAATAGACAGACACAGATACGAGAGAATCAAAAGTTCAAAAACTTGTTTACTATTGAAAAAAGTGATAATAAATTATTTGCCAATTCATAGATTATTCAACATTTCATATGTTGTATAAGTATTGGAAGTTTAATTAGTTGTCGAGAAGTTTTTATCGATTCACTGTTCACTGTATTATTGGTACACTATTTGACAGTAGTTTTTGTATGACTATACTGTAACACACTGCAATTGTTAAACTTTTTAATTCAATAATTATTTCTTTTATGTCAGCACTTATTCATTGAATCGCTTGATGACTGATATATTTTTGGCATTTTTTCATAAATTTCAAAAATTGAAATGAAGAATAAAATAAAAGTAATTTATAACACAAGTTTAGGTACAGAGAGTTACGTATAAATTATTCTCTATTATTAAATCCATTGCCAAACATATTGTATTGAATTAAAGCAATTAGTCGTATAGTAATGTATGTAGAGTTCACTTTACAAATAGATTAGTTGCTTAGAGACTCTCTCTCTCTCTCTCTCTCTCTCTCTCTCCCCACAAATAAAATGCTGATAAAATAATTTTTATAATTTACTATAATACTAATTTATTTGGTCTCTAAATAAGATAAAAACTTCATAAGTTATATTTATTACAATTATTAAAGTTATATACCTTTTAGTCTCATATAAGTGTACAATAGTTACCAATTGACGCAAAACACTAACTGAGAAACGTTGTGAAAATATTATAAAACTGTTGCTGTGATGAGAATAATGATAATGAGATCACAGAATAAATTGTTTTTATTTGAATTCAATAACAAATATTTGTTTTTATGGTATCAATAGTGGGGCACTACATGTTTTCACTCAATCAAACTACTGGATTTGTTTAAAAGCATACAATTAATTAGAAAACATTTCGTCTAATTTGTTACAATTCGGAATAACTGTCGATACAGTAGTTTTGATAAATAAGCAGTTTATTCAAAGCCAACTCATGAATAAGTTTTTAAAAATTTGTCATTTAATTGTAGTTACAAAACCAATTCTCAAACACACAAAACTTGCAATTCATGGGAGAGAGAGAGAGAGAGAGAGAGAGAGAGATTTAATGGATGTATTAGAATATACTAAAATATTTGGTAATATGAAGGAAATGGGAATCGTATCGTATTTATTGAAAATATATTGTAATTCAATACAAAATATACACTTTGTATTAAATGTCTGAATACACTATTACACTATAGTATAGTGACTATACTTTCAATTAAAATCTATTTGATGTTCATATTGAAAATGTGAACAAACATTACGTTAATTCAATTAAAATCATTACCAAAATAGTATTGCTTGTGATCATACCTTTCAATATCAAAGAATTGACTTAAATTCATTAAATCTCTGAATTAATTATTTTNATATTGAAAATGTGAACAAACATTACGTTAATTCAATTAAAATCATTACCAAAATAGTATTGCTTGTGATCATACCTTTCAATATCAAAGAATTGACTTAAATTCATTAAATCTCTGAATTAATTATGTTCAGAAAACTTATATTTGTATTTATTATAATAAATAAAATATAATTTTTGCTCCACTGGCATAAATAATAATCAATCACAAAATTGTAAAATTTAGACTATTATTCTATATTTATTAATTGATTATTGAATTAAATGTTAATCATGTAAAATAATTTTCCAAATTCTTTACTTCCAAATTAGTAAGCAACTAAAAATAATTTTATATTGTATAGAATTTGGAATTCAGAAATTGTGCATGTTATAAAACATTTAGTGCAATCTATTGGCGCTAAATGTACTCAACATTTACATTTAAAAATTCTAATCAAAAAATAATTTATACAAAAAACTTTTCCATCATAAATGCTATTTATTGAATATGTTTGGATTTAGAAAAACATTTGTAAATAATTTGTGTGTAAAGTAACTAATAGAAAAAATTTTTGTTATTAAATTTTTTATTTAATATGTAATTTCTTATAATAATATTTTTAAACTTTTATTACTTTTCTATAATAATAAAAATTAATTTATTTTATGCAAACTTTTAAAATAACTTAACTTTTTATGTTTATGTCAAAACGTTTTTTGAAACATTATTTTTAAAAATTTTAAGTGATATTTTATAAGTTATTTTTCCAATTTGTTTTTAAATATTATTTTAATGTTAATAAAAAAATCTTTAATAAAATCTAAAAAGCTATTGTACAGAATGTGTGAATAATGATTGTTTAAGTAAATGTATAAAGTCGACAGCAATTTATAAAATAAAGGTTTTGTGTTAATTCATTGAATTATTGCAATTTATGACAAATTACTAGTGAAATGCACTGAAATATACGGATTGTTGGAAAGTCTTAAGGTTTTCAACAAAAATAATAAAAACACCTTAAAAATTGTATTTGGTTTGTAATAAGTATTAAACCCAAAGTGTTTTAATAAGTTATATAAATGTTTAGTCGAAAAAACATTTCAATAAATTAAAAGTCAATACAGAGTTTTGTGGCAAAAATATAATAATTCTCAAGGCAAACTACTATGCTATATATAAAACACCTGAATATATATTTAGTTATTAATAAAACACACTTTCAATTGAATTGAAAAGTTGTGCACAAAATACTGTATGTTTTCACTTTATATACGGGTTTAGTATTCGATCACAAAACACAACATTATACGAATTGTGAAGAAAATAATGAATTGACAACTATTTTCGATAACTTGTTAATAACCTATTGTCTGATTATATAAGACCTTAAACTTCAACTGAAAGCGGAAAACGAGAAAAAACTTTTTTGCAATTAATAATAACTACTTCTCTGCGAGTGATTGAGGAAAATGCAGTCAAATGAATGAGTCAATGAAGAAGTTTTTTATTTTTTCGCAATATTATTATAATGTGTTTCTATGAATATAACCAGAAATTAAAACTACTTTTATTTGTATTCATGCATTCAAATGGTATTTAAGTGTATGTAATGCTTAAAAAGCGAGTGGTATGTCAAACACCTATTCAATCGACTTTTTATAAACTATTCCCACAGTGTTTGAGTGAAACACAAAACTTTTTTCGCCAACCGTTTACTAAACCTTATTGAATACGGCAATTGTTTTCTACAAATAGTTATTTAATGAATGGGTTTGCAATCGAAATATCATATGAAAAACAAAACATTTCTAAATGAGTTTATAAAACCATAAAAATTATTATAAGGAAAGACTCGTTTTGAATAGTTTTTTGCCAAATGAACAGCCATTTTATGGTAGACTCCGGTATTTACCCTCGCGATTGGCAATAACCTGTCGGTGCTGTGCACCGGGAGATAACCAACTACTGTGTGTATACTATTTTAGATGAGCGGCCAAACAATATTTTGATTATACTGTATATTTATTGTGTGTATTTGAAAAGAAAAAGTTTTTTAATTACTTTTTTATTTGATGTGATATTTATAAATACAGTATTGAGTGCCCGAACACTACACTAACCACTCATTTACCTCAGTTTTGTGTGTCTTTTAAACGAGTTTTAAAAAGTGAGTAAAAAAGTACGAGAGAGAGAGAGAGAGAGAGAGAGAGAGAGAATTGAGGCGTTCATTGCCTGATCCAAACCACTATAACTTATAGCCCTTCCACTTTCAACAAAGTTCACGAACTCTCTCTCTCTCTCTCTCTCTCTCTCTCTCTCTCTCTCGCAGTCATAGAAATCAAGTTTTCTCACTCTTCTTCTTCTCTCTCCACTCATTACATATGAAAAGTTTGGTTACATTAGAAGTGTTGGTCGTCTAAAAGATTAGGTATTTTATGATGATATGAGCGCTACTCCAATGGCAGCCCTTCCACGGCATACAAATCAATGTGTGTTTAGTGTGTTGTGCCCTAATATACCAGTGCTTCGCGAGAAATGGATTTGATTTCATCTGTAACTCAACTCATTGGATGTGTTGTGTTGTGCATTGAGACACAAATGATTGAGAACTGAAATTCAAAGCTCAACTCAAGTGGACATCAATTTATTTGCAATGAATTACTATTATATGAAAACATATCGTTTTGGAGGCGTTTTTCTCATAAGAAATTCTTCGACCAAATGCTGATTAACCACTCATTCACTACTTCACTACTCATAGGATAAAAGACTTAACCCATAAATAGTATTGAAAATTACTAATAATTAATATCACTTTCTTATTTTTTTGTTGAAAAAACACAAATTCCTATTAATTAATAACTCATTTATCAAAATATCTTCTTATTTACTCCTGTAGTGTAACTATGGCTTAACAAACTCTACTAAATGTTGACTGATATTAATAGTTAACACTAACTCTAGCTAACACTAAAAACTTTTTACACTTTATTTAATACTCCTATTAATCCTAATCCTGAGTCGCCTTAACTCGAAGTTATACTTAATACACACTTTCTGACAAATATATCTAAAAATCATTACTAAAACTTCATCTAAAAAATGTCTCAAAAGTACGAGAGGTTTAGCGACGACCTCAACGATAGTAAGATGTCTGGTGTGACCACTAATGGCAAGACCAGTAGTGTTAACAATAATAAGTCGTCGACATCGCTGACCAAATACCCGGTGGTGACCACTGAGCCGTCCATTGAGATCACTCGCGATGAAGAGTCTGAACAACAGGCCAATGGCTACCAATCGCAAGGGTTTTATGTCTCCCGGCGCGAGAAAGTGCGGCGGATTGTCGAGAACCTGTACTTCCGACTGTTTGGTATGTTCATCATAATCGTGGACCTGATTCTGTTGGCCATAGATCTCANCATTGAGATCACTCGCGATGAAGAGTCTGAACAACAGGCCAATGGCTACCAATCGCAAGGGTTTTATGTCTCCCGGCGCGAGAAAGTGCGGCGGATTGTCGAGAACCTGTACTTCCGACTGTTTGGTATGTTCATCATAATCGTGGACCTGATTCTGTTGGCCATAGATCTCAGTATTGAGAAATCAGATAACGAAGAGCTGGTGTTCAACGTGTTGTCAATGATTTTTGGCACTTATTTTGTGATTGAAGTGTCGCTGAGAATATACGCCAAAACGTAAGCCTAATATCAATATAAAGTTTTTATAACTTTTAGTTGATTTAAAATTTTAATTCATTTCAGTAATCAGTCGCTGAGATCTCGAGTATTAGTTTTGAGTTTTTTTTAACTGAAGCCTCTGTTTATGAATTGAGAGATAATTTTATGCCATAATGAAAGTCATTTTATCAGATTTTATAGCAACCATTTATTTTTTATGTTTTATTCAAATTTGGTATAATTTTTCGGGAATTTCAGAGATTTTAATCTGATTTTTATGACCAAAATAATGAAATTAAATATATCACCAGATCATCACTATATATCATTTCAAACTAAACTTTTATTTATATATAAATTACATTTCTATGAAATTTATTCTTAAAATTAGTTCACGAGTGAAATGAATTGAAATAAGAATTTCTCTCTAAATATGTGACAAAAATTCATAATTAAAACTCAATTTTGTGGACAGAATGCAGATATTCTTCATCGATATGTTCGACACATTGGACTTTGCGGTCATTTTTGTCAGTTATATCGTGACCGGAATCTACTGTTTCGTCGAATTGAGTGGTTTTACCCGGTATTACACGCTTTGGTTACATATTTGATGCCATAATTAGTTAACAAAAACTTTGTCTTTTGTTTCTCGACGACAGACTCGTAATATACGGTCGAGTGGTTCGCATCGTGCGGTCCGTGATGTTGATCCGTCTCTTCTATACGGAGCCCCGGAATGTGCGGAGAGGTGTCCGACACGCCGTCTCCGAAAACAAGCGCCGCATCCGGACATCCCTTTTCGACTTAGACCTCACGTACGTCACCGAACAGATCATCGCCATGTCCTTCCCATCCAGTGGTATGTCTCTGATCATTGAATATAAGATGTCATAAAATTTATTTGTCTGTCCATTGACAGGAAGAATGGCTTTCTATCGCAATAACATTAAGGACGTGTCGGCCTATCTCGACAAAAATCACGGCCCGGACTCGTATCAAGTCTTCAATTTATGCGCTGAGAAACACTACGACACGACTTACTTTCACGGAAGGGTTGTCCACTTTGCCATCGATGACCACAACGTGCCATCACTCGAGCAGATCATGGAGTTCTGCAAAGAGGCCAACCAGTGGCTCAAATCAAGTGCCGATAACGTGATTGCCGTCCACTGTATGGGTAATGAAACAAATATTTTAATTGATTTCCATTGTGTTTATAATTTAATTGCAAAAATACCCACTGTTTTAGTGGATAAAGTAATTGTTTTTATTTTTTAATTAACATTTTTTTCTATTAAATATTTCCAAATCTGATAATTGATTACATATTTTCTGCACACTTTAATTGAAATTTCAAATATTTTCTCGATTAAAACATTTTTAAACACAAAACAGCAACTATTCATTAGTGCTTATAAATTAATTCAATGATTAGTTTTTATCACTGAATTATTTTTTAATGGCTTTTTCGTAAGGAAACAGAAAAATCAATTTTCAAAAACTCTTTCGCATTGAAATCCTTAGACATATAATTAGTTTAAATAATGTAATAAATAAGAAATTAATGTTAGTAAATCTATTAATTATGTTAGCGTTTGTGTTAATCGTATTACATAAATGCAAAGGCATTATACCGTATAAAGCCATCGGAAAGGGTGTAAAACCCAAACCCAAACCAAAACCATTGACCCCACACTTCGAAACAAAAACCTATTGTAATAAACAAAACCATTATATTATACTCAATCAAAACTAAAACTAAATTTTAATTTTACTTTTTTTTATTTGTAATGTTTTATGTATAATACACAGGAGGGAAAGGGAGGACCGGAACTATGGTCTGCTCGTACTTAGTCTACACTAACAGATACCAAACCTCGAAGGAGGCGCTCGACTACTTCGCCGAACGCCGGACCGACAAAAGCAAAGGCGAGAAGTTTCAGGGCGTGGAGACCCCCTCCCAGTCCCGATACGTCGAGTACTTCACCAAAGTTATGACCCAAATGTCGGGCAATATTCCCGAACCGAAACCACTGCGGCTCAAGAATATCAAGATCTACGCGCTGTTAGGCGTGGGCGCCGGCAACGGCTCCGACCTCCAGTGCACCATCAGTTTGAACCGCAATCCCGTGTTTTGTCTGGATTTCGGTAATCAGAGTAACTGTCAAACGGATTACGATTCGGTGGCCGACGTGTTGACAGTGGAGCCCATCAACTGTCCGGCACTGGCAGGGGATGTCCGACTGAAGTTCAACTGTCGGTCAAAGTCTGTGCCGCGCGCTTACGAGGACTGCGCCTTTTACTTCTGGTTGAACACCGGGTTCATTGTGGGCGACCGGTTCAGGTTAGACCGGACCCAACTCGATAACCCACATAAATCTAATACATGGAAAGTCTATAGAGAGAGCTTCGCCGTTGAACTCAATTTTGATCAAATCAAACGATTATAACATATCAATAATTATAGATAGTATTGACTGATGTATTGTTTTATTAGTTTTTGTGTCGACATGTATATTGTTTTATTGACTAATTATTGTCTTCCATAAGGTTTTTAATTTTTTTGTAAAGTATTTTCCAACTTAAAAGTGTATTTATTTATACGAAATATGTATACAATTGACAGAATTATTCAATTTTATACTATTTGTTCAGACATGCAATTCAGACTTTTTTGTAATGTTTTTACATTTATATAAGATCTGGAAATTATTTTTATTTTTACTAAATTATTTGTTACCCTAAGATATTTATTTTTATATAAAAATGGAAATTATGAGTTTTATAATGAAAATGTGATAAATTATTGTAAAACATAATCAAAAATATACAATCGAGTGAATGATCAAAACAAAAAATACTTTAATATTAATAGAGTTTAAGTAATTTTATATAACATTATAACTAATTATGAAATTTACCGAAAAGTAATCTTCAGATTCAAGTTTTTATAAATATTTATTATATAATTATTAATTTGTAACAAAATATTGCAATTTGTCATAAATATATTTATTAAATGTTTACTTTATTTTGCATAAAAGTAGAGAATTTATTTGTTTTGGGAGATAATTCTCGTAAATGAAGTGTTAATTGTTTGGAAAGTAATTTATTTAATATGTTATGAAAAAAATGTTACTAGACTAAGTGTACTTCTAATAATAGATTTTTATTACTAATTAATGGATTTGTGAAGATTTATAACACACTTCAATAAGATATCAATTGAACTTCATTTTAATTATGTTTCTAGAAATAGTAATAAAATTATTTTACAAAATTAATTCAAAAGTGAGTTCACGATTTATCAATAATAGGTTTGATTAACACTAGACAACTGATAAAACAAATAACTCGTTAATTATTGTAATTATTTATAACGTTGAGAGAAAAGCTATATTTAATGAAAAGTTTGTGTGAATTGTGTACTATAATAGTGAACGAAATGAATTCTTAGTTTAAAGTTTAAAACAATTGCGAAGACTTAACACATAATTAGAGCGAAAAATTGTTTGTTATTATGAGTACAAAAAACAAAAAGGTCTTCAAAGTACACAAACTTTATTTTGCACTACAAGTTAAACTAACAATTGTAAGTTTGCTAACAATTGATAAGTGTACTTATTTTTAATTCATTGAATTAAAAGTTATTTTAATCAATTTAATATGTTACTTGATAATGAATAATACTAAAAATTAATAATGAACTCTTAAACTATATAAGAATTGTTTAAATATTTATTTTGTATTCTATACCAAAGATTTACTGTATTTACCATTTACTGCAAATAAGGATACAATTAATGATCACAATTACCTACTCATCAATGTCTCAAATAGAGCGACAAACTTATACAGCATTTGCTAATTCAGTGTGCAATCAGTTTTTATTGCAATTAATTTGTTTGTATTTATTTTGTAGATACAATTAATGATCACAATTACCTACTCATCAATGTCTCAAATAGAGCGACAAACTTATACAGCATTTGCTAATTCAGTGTGCAATCAGTTTTTATTGCAATTAATTTGTTTGTATTTATTTTGTCTGAAGTGTGTTTTATTTTTTACTATTTTGTAAATACTAGTTCAGTATTATCAAAATTAAAATTCTTGTTATTACAATATATAACAATTAATTAAAATATAATGCAATAGAGATTAGTCTAATAATCTGACGGTGAAAAGGATTAATGATAATAATAAATATAATGCACCGAAATATTATTGATTGAGTTGTTGCTCAATATAAGTACAATAAGTTAGTTAACACACGCTATCGGCTATTTGTCAGTGACTTTAAGTCACACAGTAATATGAGATCAAATTATCGGTAATAACAAGACATTGACTTTTTTGAACCACATATAATCAACACGTATTCCTATTACAATACAATATTATATTAAATAATTACAAGAAATACTTATTATCAATTCAATAATCTAAGCCATGACTTACTTTAATAACAATAGACACTTATTTTTTTACTGTGAATAAATTATATCCAAATATCAACATAAATATATCAATTCAAGTGATTATTTTTATACTTTTACTAGAATTCAGAATATTTTATAATTTTCATATGAATTTCACAATAATATCAGCGAAAATGTGAGAAAATTAAGTTTTTAAATTTTTTACAATAATATATAAATAAATTTCAATTTTTGAAATATGAATAATCGAGAGACGAGTAGTTTTTGTGATTAGTGTTCAGTAATATGTCTCAAATCATTTGAGGTTAAATTAAAACACACAATATTTCCGAAATTTTTATGTATGTAAGTGACTAATTACTTAACCAGCTATCTAAAACAAAAATAAAGCGCAAACACAACTAAGACCCGCAGTTGAGGATTACGTATATATTTAGCGATAATTAGAATGAAAATTACGATTGGTAACTAACATACAAAAAGTGCAAAACACAGAATACAGTAATCATTCCCATATAGTATACACAAACTAAATACATAACATTAACACAGGTGCTTACCAAATATTTGTGTAAATAACAAATATTATTTATTATTAATACATAATTATACATAAAAATCAGTTATACTTTGTGTTTTGTTGATTTAATCGCTATAGAAATGTTAACTATAAAAGGTTTACTGTATTTAGTAAAATAAATAAGTTATTCACAATTCAAGTACATTTGGTTTAATAAAATTAGATCTCCGGAGAGAAATAAATTAGTTTAACAACAAAAAACAAAGTTTTCCGTAAAATACTTAGAGTTTAGATTTTATTTAAGGGTTTTGCACTCAGATTTAGTGATTTTTTTGGTTGAAGTTTAGTTAAGATATCTCATACATGTTTGATTTGTGACATACGAATAATTTGTTGAATCTTATAATTCAAATGAATATTCAGTATTGTATAATATTAACTTGAAATCCATTGATTAAAGTATTTATATTTAATTTGACATACAGTAGAATATACTGTAATTAATTCAAAAATAGACTTATATTTATTCATAATTTTTGAAGTATTATTGTTGAATTCCTATGAATTTTAATTTTAGAGTTCAATACATATCTAATCTGACACCATATCCCATGTTATAAATCCTAAGCATAAGTTGTTCGCAAATTATTAACTATTTTGTCATTCATTTCATCAAAATTTTATCTTAATTTTATACAACGGAATAAATATTCACAGAAATACACATAAAATGCAAATAAAAACTTGAAACTATCATAACAGTTATAATGCACTGAATTTACATAGGATTTCAAATTACTTTTTGGAGTGCATTCACAAGTAAGCACTTAAACGTTGCAAACTCAAGTAATCTGTTAGCTAACCTATATTTTTATTTTAAAATTGAAATTTTTATACGTTTAGCCGTGAATACAGACTATACAGAGCTATAATAATAATTATTACACTCATATCACACCCTGTGGGGTTAGGGTGTCAGGGAATCTACCGCTTAAGGGTGTTACAGATCAGGAACTTATTTGTAATCATAATAAAGTCTTTCATCTTTTTGTGAAATATTTTTGTGAAATTTTGTCGACTCCACTGAATGCGAGTGATCGCATAAAACACATTTCCGACAGATATTTGTCACAAAATTTATATCTCAAATATTGTCACTAAATATGAACGCAAAGTTTAGGCTAAATATGTTGTAATTACACGAAGAAGTACTTCCACTCTAAACGCATGAATAAACTTTTCCGGGATTACAATCACTCATACTTTGTGTAAAAAAGACACTTTTATATTACGATATAATTCCGAAAAAATATAATACATTTTCTAAGCAACAAAATATATTTGCATTAATAAAGACACCACTCGTTTGTAACTAAACGATAGTCACAATGAGTTTCTAAACTCATAAAACATATTTACAATTATATTAGAAATTGTTTGATAATTATTTTCTTCTTGCTTTTTTATTAGTGTTCATAAAGTTGATGAAAAAGATTTTTAATTTATATCACATATAAGTGTTTGAGTGGAGAGAAATAAATAATAAAATCATTTTAAGGTATGTCTGATATAATATATTATATTATACGAAAAAGTATTTTTATTTTTCCATGTATAACAAATCATAGCCAAAACCCTTTAATGCAATTCTTTGCATAAAATTCATTTGACTCAATGCAGGCGTTAATTGAATTTATAATACAATCAATTGAATGAAATTATTATATGAATAGTAAATGCGATAAAGAATTGAAAATATAATATAATTTGCAAATCGAGGCGTAAAGGTGTTGCTGGAAATCATGTCAATTGAATGATAAGGAAAAGGGGGTTAGATTTCAGAGATGAGCAGAGACTGTATGGGTTTGATTGGACAGTTGGCTTACACTAATGGGCTAGTTTTTGGGATAATTATTGACATATAAGGTGTTTATTGCTTTCACACCACATTTCCTCAATAGTCATATAATTTATTATCTGTTAACTAATTAACACTGATTTCAGACTCTTAAAAAATGGTCACTTCTTGTGTGAATTGTAGTAAAGAGAGCACTAATGACTTATATCGTGGAGAGAGAGAGAGAGAGAGAGAGAGAGAGGGAGAGAGCTATAGGTTTAGCGAAATATCAATTGTGAACAATAGCGAAGACACGCAACGAATGACAAAAAGTTTTTCTTTTGTGTCGAAACGAAAGTGAATTATAAGAAAATAATAGCAAAAATGGATCCAATCTTTAGCCCAGAGAAAGACTTTTGTGTTATCATAAAAAATAATATTAATATACTTTCTATTCATTGATTCAATTGAATGACTTGAATAAAAAGCAAGAATTGTATTTTCACTTTCTTTATAGTAAAATACATTTTAAATTAAAATTTCATTAAATAATAACAAAATTACAATTTTTTTATAAATAATCAATTCTTTATTTATTTATTTAATTTTTATTAACATTTTTTCAATTTGTTGTCCGTTTTGTGTTGTAAT